TACTGTGGCCGAGTTCAAAAAGGGTGTTGCCTGTGTTCTCCTCTAGGATTTTGATGGAATCTTGTCTCACATTTAGATCTTTCATCCATTTTGAGTTTATCTTTGTGTATGGTGCAAGAGAGTGGTCCAGTTTCATTCTTCTGCATGTGGATGTCCAATTTTCCCAGCACCATTTATTGAAGAGACTGTCTTTCTTCCAGTGGATCGTCTTTCCTCCTTTATCGAATATTAGTTGACCATAAAGTTCAGGGTCCACTTCTGGGTTCTCTATTCTGTTCCATTGATCTATGTGTCTGTTTTTGTGCCAGTACCACACTGTCTTGATGACCACAGCTTTGTAGTACAACCTGAAATCTGGCATTGTGATGCCCCCAGCTATGGTTTTCTTTTTTAAAATTCTCTCGGGGAAATTCTTGTATCTCTTTCATCTAGAAAGGAGAAGGGGTACTTTCTTCGTGACCAGCTGAGATGTTTGCTTCTCTGGGAAGTCAACACAGACACCTCGGAAAGCATTAGCTACCCCTCACCTGGGCTTAGTTCTTTTGTACTGCTTGCAGCCAGGGCATTATAACGCCTCCTTCTTGGATCTGATTGCCTCTGCGTGACTTGGAGGCCTTCTGTGGCAGATGTAGTATCATAGATCTCTGCAGTCTTGGGACCCAGTCCAGGACATGCGCATGCTGAGTCCGTGCAGGGATAGACAAACAAGGGAAGTGTGGGGGTGTCTTGTTTAGGGTTGCATAGCTGGTGAGCTGCAGAGCAGGGATGGATGGAGCTCAGGTCTCTGGCCCTGTGTCATTTTCTCTTTCTTTCTTTCTTTACTTGAGAGAGAGAAAGAGCACACGAGAAGAGGGGAGGGGAAGGGAGGGGTAGAGGGAGAAGGGGAGAAGGAGAAGCAGACTCCCTGCTCAGCAGGGAGCCTGACATGGGGCTCCATCCCAGGACCCTGAGATCAGGATCGGAGCCCAAGGCAGATGCTTAACCGACTGAGCCACCCAGCCCCCGCCCCACCACCACCATGCCTTTTCACTCAGGAGTTTCATCCACAGTAACTCATAACTCCCAAGAATCAGATCTTGAAAACTCTGGAAGCATAGTTCCTGGGCTTATGTCTTACAAAGTATAAAGTGATTGGGGTGCCTAGGTGGCTCAGTCAGCTGAACCTCCTACTCTTGGTTTTTGGTTTGGGTCATGATATCAGGGTTGTAGGATCAGGCTCCACACTTGACAAAGGAGTCTCCTTGAGATTCTCACTCCCTCTGCTCCCCGCCCCATCCTGCTTGCTCTGTCTCTCTCTTTCTCAAAATAAATAAATAAATCTTTCCCCAAAACGCCCAAAGTTTAAAATCATTTATAAAAACATTCCCAAGTTCTCCAGATCTTCATTAATCTAAACAAGGTATTTGGGATCCTATGGAAGTAGTATGGACATACGGACAATCTACCTTTCTTTCTTTCTTTTTCTTTTTTCCTACCTTTCTTTTTTAAACCTGAAACTGAATTCTGCTAGATGGGTGTCCTTTTTACTGTAACTAAAACCTAAACTCTTGTCGCTTCAGAATGTTAGACAGTTCATTATGTATTCCCCAAAAATGAATCCAAAGGAATTTGTCAGGAAAGAACTTAAATCCTGACATCCACAGCTTTCCTTTGGAATTCCTAGAAAATTCTCAAGGAAAAGAGGCAGCAATTTAAAAGCTAAAAAATGATGTTGACAAGAAACTCAGTAAGAGTGCTTGAAGAGCATACTGTATGTGATTTTTTTTTATCTTTTTAGGTTCAAGTCCGTAACTTTTCTGCAAAAGGACCTCACTGTGAGTTCCATCAATGGCAGGAATAAGGCACTGCTCACTGCAGTAGGGAGAAATACAAGCTCTCGTAGTAATTTTGATGACCTTCTTTTCTTATTTGCAAGAACTGAACTCTTTTTGCTCTTCCTGTTACATAAGCTATTATACCCAAAGGGGAAAAATTTCAATAAAATGGAACTCATTTATTTCCACTAAATAGCTGCCTGGGAATGTCAGCGTACTAGCTGGAAATGTTCAATTAATTAGAGAAATATGTTTGTTCGACCAAGAAACAGCAGCCTTTATGGTCGTATTACGGGGACTCTCTCATGTCCGTGAACAGATTGAGTTGATTCCATTTGGGGGGGCTCATCATGGGCCCAAAGAAGCTTCAGAGGAAAGACACAGATCCTGCCCTGGGAGAGAGAGATCACAGTTCAGTTTATACACAAGGACACTGTCCTGAAACATCTAAAGTACATATTGTGTTGCAGAACATAAGTGCTTATTTTGTTAAAAAAAAATCTAATGAGATAAAAACTCAATTTCATAAAAACAAATACTGGGCAAGACAACAGATAAGAGAGTGAACAAGGTCAGTAGATGACTTGTGCATGCTGCCCACAGCTGGGCTAGACACAAAGGTTGGGGGGCAGGGGGCATCAGGTCCTCAGGCCTCTGCAGGCCATTCAGCGGTGTAAGGAGGCCATGGGGGTCACAAGCATGCTGGAACCCCCGCCCAGTGGTTCCCAGAGTGTGCTGCTGGAGGGCCGGGGGGCTGGAGCAGCTCTTACCAGGAAGGCAGCTAATAGGCTCTTACTTAGTTCAGGTATGTTCAGGCATAGAAGTTGGCAAATTGTACAAATTAGCCTCCCTGAAGCCCTTTCAGGGGACCTGCATGGGCAAACTATTTTCATAATACTCCTAAGATCTCCTTTGCCTTTTTTGCTCTCCTTTCCTGAGCAGACAGTGGTTCTTCCCGAAAGTTATGTGATGTGTGATACTGTAACAAATTCCGTGCTGGGGGAGTATCAGCCAGGAGAACCTGCCTATCTTCTATTAAGCCCAAGAAGGTGTGTGAAAATGTAAAAACAATGCTATTCTTCTCACTCATTTTTTTTTCATTTTGGAAAATGGCTATTTTTTTTATAAAAATGCTATTTATGTTAACATATAATTGGCTCCTTATTTTCTTTTTTTTTAAGATTTATTTATTTATTTATTATTTATTTATTTATTTATTTATTTATTTATGATAGACAGAGAGAGAGAGAGAGAGAGAGAGAGAGAGGCAGAGACACAGGCAGAGGGAGAAACAGGCTCCATGCAGGGAGTCCGACGTAGGACTCGATCCTGGGACTCCAGGAGCGCGCCCTGGGCCAAAGGCAGGCACTAAACCGCTGAGCCACACAGGGATCCCTGGCTCCTTATTATCTTAAAATGAATTAATAAAGAAATATATTTATTAAAGCCCTCAGATTTTTAAGGTATTTATTTATTTATTTGAGAGAGAGGAAGAGAGAGAGAGAGCATGCGCATGAGCAAAAGGAGCAGAGGGAGAGAATCCCAAGCAGACGCCACGCTGAGCACAAAGCCCGCTGCGATCCCACAACCCTGAGATCATGACCTGAGCCAAAACCAAAGTAGAATGCTTAACCAATTGCGCCACCCAGGTGCCCCTAAACTCCTCAGTTGTTAATCTCAAATTGGTAAATACTGATGCTATAACCCACATAAGCAAAAATTGTGTCCTCAATTTTTTTTTTATTTTTTAGAGTGGTTTTAGATTCACAGCAGAATTGAGCAGAAGGTACAGAGATTTCCCACAGACCCTCACACATGCACGGCCTCCGCCACGATCAACATCCCCCACCCCCAGCGAGGTATGTTTGTCCCAGTTGATGAACCTACATTGCGTAGGGGAGGACAAAGAACTTCCCCTCTACTCTTCTGAGTTCTTCGCCGAGACCCCTGTGATAAATGACAGATTAGCAAGAGGAAAAACAAACAGAAAGTTATTAACATATATAACTCGTGTATGCATGGGAGATACCCAGGGAAAAATGAATAGCTCTCTGAGGTGGCTTGGGATTCAGGCTTGAACACCATGCTAAGAGGCAAAGGGGAGAAGGGGAGAGGGAAGTAGGCCTCTTAGGGGAGAGTGAATTATTTTTAGGAGAGATAAATGGGCCCTTAGTAGGTTAGGTGGGAGATGTGATAGTTTGTAACCAAGTTTGTCTGGGTATCACCTTCTAGTTTCTTCTGTGATGAGTCACTCTTTTCTGGTTGATGAGACTCCTGGAGACGTGGTTGATAATAACTGAATTCGTTTTGGAGGATCTGTCTTTAGACAGATAAGGTGTTGTTTTAGGACAAATGTGTAATGACATGTACCTACCATTAGAGTATCATACCAAGTATTTTCACTGCCCTAAAAGTCCTCTGTGCGCCGCCTATTCATCTCTCCCCACCTCCATCCTGACTCCTGGCAACCACTAATCTTTTGACTGCCTCCATAATTTTGTCTTTTCCAGAATATCTTCTAGTATGCAGGATCTTCAGATTGGCTTCTTTCACAACTAATATGCATTTCAGATCCCTCCACGCCTTTTCATGGCTCGATAGCTCATTTCTTATTAGTGCTGAAGGATACCCTACTGTCTGGATGTACCCACAGTTTATCCATTCACCCACTGTTGGACATCTCAGTGGCTTCTAAGTTTGGGCAGTTATGAATAAAGCTCCTGTAAACATCTGTGTGCGGGGTTTTATGTGGACATAGGTCTCCCATGGGTAAATACCGAGGAAGGATTGCCAGACGGTAAGAAATGTCTAATAAGAAACTGCCAGGCTGGCTTCCCACGTGTTGTATTCCCACCCCCCACCCCTGACCCCCACGATGAGTGAGGACTCCTGCCCCTTCACATCCTTACCAGTATCTGGGATCGTCAGGGTTGGGGATCTGGGCCATTCTAGTAGGTGAATCGTGGTATCTCGTTGTTCTTATTTGTATTTTCCTGACAACATATGATGTGGAGGACCTTTTCATATGCTTGTGTGCCCTCTGCCTGTCTCCTCTGGTGAGGTGTATTTTGAGTAACAGTCCTTTATCAGATGTGCCTTTTGAAAATATTTTCCCCCACTCTGTTGCTTATTTTCTCCTTCTCTTGACCATGTCTTTTGCATAGCTGAAATTTTTAATTTTAATGAAGTCCAGTTTATGAATTCTTTCTTTTATGGTTTGTGCCTTTGGTGGTTATCTCTAATAAGTTATTGCCATACCCCAGGTCATCTAGATTTTCTCCCATGTTGTCTTCTGGGAGTTTAATAGTTTCATCCTCATAATTAAGACTTGTTAAATCTCAAGAGTAAACCTAGTAAAAAGGGGAACAGTCACGTCTCCTACAGTTCACCTACCACCCTTGAAGCTCTGCAGGAAGCATATGCAGAGAGGAAGAGGTGGGGCTTTGGTCTCAAACCCCAGGATTAAAACAAAAACAAAAAGCCCTGTTCTGCAGGGCTCCTCCACAGTTCTCTCTGTTGAGAGAACAGCCTTATCTACTGAGAGAGGCCAGTTGCTTTCTCTGCTCCATTTTCACAGGGCACACCCCAGACTGAGCTGGCTCCAGCTCTGGGTGAGGCCAGCAGCTGACTTGAGCAGGGCTGGCTGCCAGATGGCGCCCATCTCTGGCCTTCACTGTCAGGCCACACAGCTGCTCTCTGGCCCAGTTGACCTCATCAGCTGCAGGACAGTCTTGAGGGATCCCAAGAGCAAGCCAGAGCAAGCAAGCCTGAAGGCCAAGCCTTCCTGTTCCCTCGCCACGTGGAAAGATGTCACCCCCAGGGGCCACCCTTGATTGCCTCCCAGCCTTTAGCCACTTGCCAGACACCCTCAAAGCACCACTGCTGGCACTGTGCCAAAAGTCAGAGCATTCCTCCTGGGGAGGCAGGGCTGGGTTCAGTGGATCCATCAGGGTCCCCTGATCAGGTGTCTGTGCAAGAAAGTCTAGACTTGTCATCAGACTTCAAAGATGGAGAAAGACCTTCCTTTAAAAAAAAAAAAAGATTTTATTTGTTTATTCATGAGAGACACATAGAGAGGGGCAGAGACATCGGCAGAGAGAAAAGCAGGTGCCCCACAGGGAGCCCGATGCAGGAGTCGATCCAAGGACCCCAGGATCCCAACCTGAGCTGAAGGCAGACGCTCAACCACTGAGCCACCCAGGTGCCCCGGGGGAAGTCCTGCCTTATAAAGTTGAAGGATCACTGTGTTAGAAGGCAACACTAGTTAGGGCCGTCCTGTTGAAGGTTTGTCAGGGTCCATTCAACAATATTAATTCAACAAGTAGTTGATTTGTTCTCCACATCTGGCTCAGTGCTCAGGGCTGGAGCTGCACCGATGAGTAAGACCGGATGTGATCTGTGTGTTTTTGAAGAGCACTGATATAAATCAGCTACTCACACAAATGCATGTCTAATTTAAAATTAAATGTTGCTCTGAATTTCAGAACCTGGTTCTTTGATAGATACAACAGTGGATGTTTAGTGCTTGGTTTTGTACACTTGTTTATTTTTGAGTTAGGTAATATATTCATGTTCAGAAATTCGAAAGGATGATAGAGTGAAACGTCACTCCCCTACCCCCCACTTCCTTGGGTGGCCCATTATCCCTCAGCCACTCCCCGGACGCCATACGTGCTTCATAGACATGAGTGGGTGTTCTGCTGTTCAGCGGGGGAAGAGGAAGTGGAGTGGAGAATAAAGACTTACCTGAGGATATGACACTTGAAATTTGAAGCACGAATGTGAAGTGAAGAAGCCTGGGAGAGGGGAAGCATTCTCGGTAGAGGCAATAGCTTATGCAAAGGCCCTGTGGCAGGAGACAGCTTGATGTATTAGATGCATGAAAAGCCTGTATTGCTCGAGTGCAGAAAGCAAGGGGAGGAGAGGTCCAGGATGCTGCTGGGTGGAGAGGATGCAGCCTTGGAGCTCTCTTGGCACTGTGGACTCTCCCCTAAGAGCCTGGGAAGCCACTGAACGATGCGAGGAGGTAACCTTCAATCACACTTGTGTTTTGAAAAATGTTACCCGGGCTAGAATAAGGAGAATGGATCGGAGGGGAACACAGTTTAATGCACTTATTTAGGTTGGGTGAGAAACGATGCGGCTCGGTGGCGGTGAAGTATGTACCTATATTGCAAGAAATGATATGCAAGGTGCTTGCTTCTGGAAAACGTTAACAAGTGTTTGTTTCGGTTCTTGCAACTGAGTGGAAGGAAACTTCCTCACCAGGGTCTGCTTAGAATGCACTTAACACGTGGCTGTGTTTGCTCCAAGCATGTGGCCAAACTCCCAGGATTACCTAGCATCCTGTAAAAGGCTGATGGACAAAAGTCCGAAGCCTCATAAATTCTTGCTAGAAGCCTTCTCTGGCCTCTGGCCGGGCACCCAAAACTAACTCCCCTGGGCGGGCGCCCTCCAGTGGCCGGAGGTCATTACAACGTCCTAGCAGAATGACCAGGTGGGTGATGCTCCCTAATCAGGAGGCAGATCCTTAGAGCCCCTGATGGCTGTGGTTATTTGGGTATCTGCACACTGAATTTTCCTCCCCCCCCCCAGAATGGCTTATTCTGAGGACCAAGGAGGTGTCCCCTGTGGAGCCCCTGATGGCTGTGGTGGTTTGGGTATCTGCACACTGAATTTTCCTTTCCTACCCCCCCCCCTGCCAGAATGGCTTATTCCGAGGACCAAGGAGGTGTCCCCTGTGGTTTCATCCGCCAGAACTCCAGCAACTCCATCTCCTTGGACTTTGAGCCCCACACGGAGTACCGGTTCGTGGAGCCACTGGAAGAGCGCTACAAATGTGCCTTGTGCCACTCGGTGCTTCACAACCCCCACCAGACGGGGTGTGGGCACCGCTTCTGCCAACACTGCATCCTGTCCTTGAGGTGAGGGGCGGGGCCCGCAGAGGGTGGGGGGGGTGCGTCCCCAGGACCTGGGTGTCCGGGCAGCTGTTGGAATTGCTGTGGCTGGCCACGGAACCACAGAGGCGCGCAGGGGCTCCCCCAGAGCCCTTCTCCCGGAGCCCCAGAAATCACCTTCAGTTTTTATGTCTCACCACTGCTTCCCCACAGTCGCCTTTCACCTCCTTTTTAAAAAATGATCAGAGGGGCAGCCCGGGTGGCCCAGCAGGTTAGCACCGCATTTGGCCCAGGGCGTGATCCTGGAGACCTGGGATCGAGGCCCACGTCGGGCTCCCTGCATGGAGCCTGCTTCTCCCTCTGCCTGTGTCTCTGCCTCTCTCTCTGTGTGTCTCATGAATAAATAAAAATCTTTTTAAAAAAAGTAACTTTAAAGATATAATAAATACAAACGATCAGAGTGTCCTGAACGTGCAGTGTTCTGTGGGCTCCAGGTGTGCAGTGTGCTGAGCCGGGAATGCTGGTTGCTCGTTGCTCCTGAGGGTCACACCTTTGCTTAAAATGTAGACCCCACGTGGGTGCCGAGTCTGTGTTGGGAAGGGCCTGCAGTCACAGGGGGCCTTGTGGTGGTCGCTCTGACTTTGCCTTGCCCTGAGGCACAGGTGGCATCACGTCGGGAGAGGGACCTCACCCGCAATGGGTGCTGTGTGCTGCCGGGGCAGTGCCTGGGTCATGCCGTTCGGAAGGAGGAGCCCAGGAGAGTCGTGGAAGCAGGCTCTGGGGGGCTGATGTAGCGCAGCAAGAAGCCGTTTCCCACCAAGCTTGGAAGGGGGGTTATGATAGCACATTCTCATTCATTCGTGGGTTTGTCCATTCAGCGCCTGTGTGTTCCAGGCACCTGGCTAACACTGAGCTCTCGTGCACAGAGAGGAAGAGCCAGAGGTCCAGGGTGGAACAGGACCCAGCCTCTGCCCTCCAGAACACTCCAGTCTAGTGGAGGAGACAGGTTCTGGTACAGTGCGATTAGCAGAAGGCAGCCAGAGGACATTGGACTGTGTCTGGGGGACTTACTGTAGGACCTGCGTCCTGGGGAATGAGTGGGAGTATTTTAGCAGCCGGGGGAGGTGACAGCTCTTCTTGGGGGAGGGAGCAGAAGGAGGGAAGACAGAGTCTGGACTGTTGAGGTGTGCATGTGGGGAAGGTAACTCCAAAGGGTCAAGCATGGCTGGGGCCCTGGGGCTGCTCTTGAAGAGCTGTTAAGGTCAACTCTTAATTTGGCTCTATTTTTATTTTTCTCTCCAGAGAATTAAATGCAGTCCCACTCTGCCCTGTAGATAAGGAGGTTATCAAATCTCAGGAGGTAAGAAAGTCACCACCTGGGGCGCCTGGGTGGCTCCGTGGTTGAGCATCGGCCTTCGGCTCAGGGTGTGATCCTGGGGTCCTGGGATCGAGTCCTGCATCAGGCTCCCTGTGAGGAGCCTGCCTTTCCCTCTGCCTATGTCTCTGCCTTTCTCTGTATCCCTCATGAATAAATAAATAAAATATTAAAAAAAAATAAAAAGAAAATCACCCCTTTGTTTAGCAGCTGTCTGGGTGATGGAGAAGCCAGTGCCTGAATTGAATTGGACATAGAGGTTGGAGCAGTAGAGTGGGAGAGGGGGCCTTTCTTAGAGTCCACACTTCTCTGCTGTGGGGTCAGGTCAAATCCCACTCCTACCACTGTTTCAGAGTCTTGTTTGGGTCTTTATTGACCCCCACCCCCTAAATTTCTACTCTGCTCTCTTCTTACCCCCTTACTACACTGGCTCCAGGTACGCTGAATTGCTTGGAGAATTGAAACACCCTGTTTCTTGGAATTCACTTTCTCCTCTAGTCACTTCCTAAAACTTCCTTCTATCATTATTATGTCTAACAATAGCTTTATTGATATATAATCCATATGCCATAAATTTTATTTGTATAGTGTACGTATTTCCTGGGTATACACCTAGGAGTGGGATTACTGGGTCACATAATTCTATTTAGGGTCATAATGGGAACTCTAGGTGTAACATTCTGAGGAACTGTCAGACTGTTTTCCAAAGCAGCTGCACCCTTTTACATTCCAGCCAGCAGGGTATGAGAGTTCTAATGTCTTTAGATCCTTGTCAAAAGCTGTTACTGTCCATCTTTTTTATTATACTCTTTCCAGTGAGCACCTGTTTCGATTTGCGTTTCTCTAATGATTAATGATACGGAGCATCTTTTCATGTGTTTGTGCATTTGTATGTCTTCTGGTAGACGTGCCTATTCAGTTTCTTTGCCCATTTTTAAGTGTATTATTGGTTTCTTATTCTTGAGTTTTAAGAGTTCTTTATATAGTCTAGATACAAGGCTCTTACCAGATATATGATTTACAAATATTTTCTTCCCGTTCTGTGTGTTTTTTTTTTTAAGATTTCATTTATTTGAGAGAGTGTATCAGCAAGAGAGAGAGAAGGAGCAGGGAGATGCAGAGGGAGAGGGAGAAGCAGGTCCCCACTGAGCTGAGAGCCTGAGCTGGGGCTTGATCCCAGGACCCCAGGATCATGACCTGAGCTGAAGGCTGACACTTAACCAACTGAGCCACCCAGGCACCCCCTGTGGGTTGTCTTTTCTCTCTCTTGATGGTGTCCTTTGAAGCATGAAAGCTTTCTGTTTTGATGAGGTCTTACTTGTCTGTTTAGGTTCCTTGTTCTTTTAATGTTGCATCTAAGAAACTGTTACCTAACCTGAAGATTTTCTCCCTTAAAACTTCTGTGGGTTTTTTTTTTTCTTCTCTTTTTAGCGATGGGGGAGGGACAGAGGCAGAGAGAGAATCTTAAGCAGGCTCCACGCTCAGCATAAGCCCGACATGAGGCTTGATTTCATGACCCTGAGATCAAGACCTGAGCCAAAATCAAGAGCCAGACACAGCTGACTGAGCCACTCAAGCACCCCTCCCTTAAAACTTCCTTTTAAGCTCAGTTTTCTTCCTTTACAATTCTATTACAGGATGTTCAAGCGTCACCTCCTCCAGGAAGCTCCCTGAGCACCTGGTCTGATGTACATGCTCCTTCTCTATGCTCTTGTGTTGTGTTTTGCAAACACCTCGCAGAGGACAGTGCTGTGTTTGTATGTGCCTCACCCACTAGATCAGGGGTTGGCGTACTACAACGTGAGATTTGTTGGGACAAATCCAGCCCACCACCTGTTTTTTATGGCCTGTGAGCTAAGAATGGTTTTCTTACAAATCATTGGAAAAAAATACAAAGAAGGGTGCATAGGAACTCTGTACTATTTTTGCAACTTCTTGTGAGTCTTTAAACCATTTCAAAACAAAAAAAAAAAGACCCTTATTTTAAAAATCAAGAAGGGAATAATGTTTTGTGACAAGCAAAAATTACATGAAATTTACCTTTCAGTGTCTGTAAATAACATTTTATTGGAACGTAGCCTGTACGTTGGTTTAAGTATGGAGTACAGCAGAGCTGAGTAAGTTGCAAAAGAAAAGGTTGCACAGTAGCCTGCAAAGCTGAAAATACTTACTGTCTGACCCTTTATGGAGAAAGTTTGCCAACCCCTGGTGTGTGCTGAAATAGCAGGTCAGCACAGCTTCAGTGACACTACCTGATGACTAATACAAACTTTACACTATGACAGGAAGCTGAAAGCGTCACCTTCGTCCACAGCTTACCTTCTGACCTTTGAGCCTATGAGGTCAAGTGCACCACGAGATCCTCCTGCAGCCTACAGCACTGAGCACTGAATTTCCTGACTTGTGTGTTTAGTGGCCTGTCGGAAATATGTATCTGAGAAGGCCTTTTCTTTTATGGTGCTGAATCTGATGTTTCCATTCCAACCACTGTCTGGAAGTTTCCACCTGACTTTTGAGATTATATTTGAAGACGAAATCGGTAATAGTTTATTCACATTGCTCTGAGGCTGTGGCGTGTAGGAGACCTATTTTGTTTCTCTTTTAGGTGTTTAAAGACAATTGCTGCAAAAGGGAAGTCCTCAATTTATACGTGTATTGCAAAAATGCTCCTGGATGTAATGCCAAGATTATTCTGGGACGATACCAGGTCGGTATTACTCATAACCAATATTTCCCTTTGCCATTTTCCCAGTGACATGTATTGAACACCTTTGTGGGATAATTACTGGGCTAGGCGTGATGGGGGGTTCATTGGGTTGCCCTCAGAGAACTCCTGTCTAGCAATATATTTGGCTGCAGTACAGCACACCAAGGGCTAAGGTGCGCGTGAACAGGTCCATTTCGTTTGGAACGCATGAAGGCCATACTATATGTATTAGACCTAAATTGTGGGTTAGGGGTCAGTGATCCAAAAGAGAAGATGTGGGACATGCGGGGCAAAAGGACATGTCATTTGTGGGGAACTGTGAAGGATTTGGGATCCCTGGGGTGGGAGCCAGGGCAGGCTGCAGAAGGACAGGATTGCAAGGGTCTCTGTCCGAAAGCATTGGCGGGTGGTGGGTGGGTGTTTCCCAGCAGCTATGGGTCCTGGCCTCTTAGTTTATGATCTGAGGCATATAATTGCAGACCAACACAGAGCTAGGATGTGGTTTAAAGGCGAAGCATTGGTATGAGCTGCAAACACACAATGTGTAGGGGGAGTGAAGGGGAGTTACTTTCACATGAAACTGCCCTACCTGGTTCTTCCATCCTGCTGGGGAAGCAGGAAGCTTGGTCGGTGCCAAACTGGAAATGGAGCAATGGGGCTTTGCCACAGCAGGCCCGTATCAGGTATGACCACACTGTGTAGGAATAAGAAGCAGGCATCTCTGGCTTCCAGAGAATGGCTTGGAGGCTGCTGAAATATTCCTCTTCCACCCACACATTTTGGAGCACATTTCAGGTGATTCAGCCTTTTCTCCACCTTGCCTCCAAACCTCCCAGACACTGAGCTTCTAAACATGTATATGGTTTCCTCATTAACCCCAGGATTTTTCTGGAGGTTCACTGAACTTTCTCGTGTTTCGATAGTCGGGCCCTAGAGCGGGGGCATCTTTTCCAGCTTTGTGGTCATGAAGGCTGAGCAAGAAATGAGGCTCCAATTGACCATCCAGCCGTCAGCTTTTGTGACCAGATCATTAGCTTCTAGAGAACAGTGGCTGGTTTCTTTTCACCTGTTTCTTCTGTGTTTCCCTCGCTCCTGTCCCCTACCTGCACCCTGGCTTGCAGGTGAGGTGTAGGTTCTCCAAGATATCGGAATTGTGATGAGTGGTGACTGTTTCAGTGACAGTGGAGGGGTAGCAGGAGCAGCGAATTTTGGAGAAAATGAGGATTTCAGTGGTCGCTCTTTGTTTCTTATTATTAGAAGCAAAGGAGAGTAGCAATAATGTTTATTTATCTCCTACAGCAAAACTGGTTGCGTCTTCTCTCCTTCAGGACGGGATCAGCAAACTGTTTCTGCCAAAAGCCAGTTAGTAAAATGTTTAGGTTTTGCAGGCCATACAGTCTCTGTATCAGCCACTCAACCCAGCCCTTCCCTTTCAGAGGGAAAACAGCTCATCCCTCCCCTCCCCCCAGCAGTGTGTAAAAGTGGATGTGGCTGTTCTCCACAAAAACCTTATTTACAAAAACAACAGACCAGCTGTGTTTTAGGGGATCTCTCAGGGGACAGACTCACTAGGGTTTTGATGACTTGTTAGCATCACAAAAACTTGCAGTGATCCAGAGGTTTTATTAAGATATATCTCCTGCTGCTGAGTGAAATGAGTCAAGAGGACAAACATTATATGGTCTCGTTCATTTGGGGAATATAAATAATAGTGAAAGGGAATAGAAGGGAAGGGAGAAGAAATGGGTAGGAAATACCAGAAAGGGAGACAGAACATAAAGACTCCTAACTCTGGGAAACGAACTAGGGGTGGTGAAAGCGGAGGAGGGCGGGGGTGGGGTGGGGGTGAATGGGTGATGGGCACTGAGGGGGGCACTTGACGGGATGAGCACTGGGTGTTATTCTGTATGTTGGCAAATTGAACACCAATAAAAAATAAATTTATTATTAAAAATAAATAAATAAATAAATAAATAAATAAATAAAATCAGTAAAAAAAAAAAAAGATATATCTCCTGCTTTTAAGAATCTATACATGGGGGCGCTTGGGTGGCTCAGCCAGTTAAGTGTCCACCTTTGGCTCAGGTCGTGATCTCGGGGTCCTGGGGAACGAGCCCTACATGGGGCTCCCTGCACAGTGGGGAGTCTGCTTCTCCCTCTTCTGCTGCTTCCCCTACTCATGTGTGTATGTGCACGTCCTCTCTCTCTCATTCTGCACTCTTGCTCTCAAATCTTTTTTAAAAAATAAAAATCTATATTGTGAACAATACCGGAATGAGCACTGTCCATATCATCATTGTCTCATATTCTGGTGAAGGACATGTTCTGACTACAGGTCTGTCCATTCCCAGCTTCCCTGGGGCCTGGGATCCTGTATTTCTTTCTGTCTGCTTTCCTCAGCTACTTCTGGAACAGTTCCCATTCTGTCCCCTTTCTCTGTTTAACCCTTTCCCTTCCTTCCTGTACTTGGGACATGCCCTGCTCTTCCCTCAGCCCCCTCTGCCCTGGCTTTTGCTGCCTGTCATGCAGAGATCAGGACTTGGATGCAAAAAAGAAATCCCAAATGCCCTTGGAGAACTGGCAGATCCCTCAGCCAGCCTAAGGGCAATATTGAGGAACTAATGTGAGAATGGGAGCAGGGTCCTGGATGATCTGAAAGAGACGCAGCATGCTTCCTCCTTCAGCCGTCTTCCTGTCCTCCTAACTCTGGTCACGCAGGCTGGCCATCACGGTCTGTCTGTGCAGCCCCGTCCCCCCAGCTACCCCCAAGGCCCCCCCACCTTCCAGGCTTCCCGCTGGCTCCCCCTCCCACCCTGGTCAGTGGGGCCCACTGGCCTGTTTTCTTCCGTTGCAGGACCACCTCCAGCACTGCCCCTTTCAAGCTGTGCAGTGTTCTAACGAGGACTGTCAGGAGCCAGTCCTGCGGAAAGATTTGAAAGAACATGTGAGCACATCTTGCCAGTTCCGGGAGGAAAGATGCCTTTATTGCAAAAAAGATGTGGTGGTAATCCATCTACAGGTAAAAAAAAAAAAAAAAAAAAAAGAGAGAGAGATTGAGAGAATGAGAGGCGAATCATCTTAATGGGGCTAAATTCTACCCAAGTGGTCACGGGGATCAGGCCATGACTGATTTTATTTTGCCCAGAAATAGGTCTAAAGAATTATCTGAGAGTTCTGTCAAAAGCTGATCTTCTCGTTGGTAGGGCTCTACTCGTTTACCATTGGCAAAAGCATTGTTTGAGGGCCCAATGAGTGTGAGTGTGCAAGGAGCGATGCTAGGTGCTGGGTCACAAGGGGGTGACGATCCTGTGTCCTCAGGGTGCTATGATCTAACTGGAGTGGGAGGATGTAGGCCGAAAAAGAGACTACGGGGTACCTTTTGCGTGTACCGAAGGAGCCATACTGATAACTCCCAGAGTCGGCTCTCTGTGAGTCCTGGGCCCTCTGACCTTCTTTTGGAATGATTGGAAAATTGACTTGAATCGATGTGAAGAAAGCAGCCATCTTTTGTCCTTGGAACTAGGCTGTCCCTTCCTGTAGAGGGCAAGCCACATAACATAGATCCCCAGAGACGTAGACGTGAACCCTCTGAGGCCATAGAAGGGAGCCTTTGGAGGCAGGGTTTGGCTCTGTTTCATCATACTTTCTCTGTCTCAGAATCATGAGGAAAACTTGTGTCCTGAGTACCCGGTACCTTGTCCTAACAAGTGTTCGCAGATTATTCCAAGAACTGAGGTAACTGTAAATGATTCTCTTAGTAGATTTTATGTAAGATAAAGTTTCAGTAACCACGGTGGTGTGTGTTTGATAAACTCCCACAGGCTGAGGCCCAAGGTTTGAATAACACCCACGATAACCACGTCTCTGCATCCCCTCCCCTCTTCCCTGAGAATTCTCCGTTTTTACGTAGCTCTTCCTCCGCCAGGCCTCAGCATGGCTTTTCCCTGTCTGCTCCCACCCTTTGTCTCCAAGCCCTCCTGGGTTCCCTGCATGCTGCAGGTCCATCAGGCAACTGGAGAGAATTGGTGATGAATTTTTGTCTTTTTTGTTTCGTAGGTGGATGAACATCTCACAGTGTGTCCCGAGGCTGAACAAGACTGTCCTTTTAAGCACTATGGCTGTACTGTCAAGGTAGGGAATGCCTTTTGTTTCTACCTCCACGTTCGACTGTATAATTCATTCAGCAGGTTTATTTTACTCTTTGAGTCCATTCTTCACGATGCAGAAGAACATTCACTTTGGGGAACTTTAAGACTGGCAATGTTATCGGTCAGGGTTCTCCAGAGACGCAGAATCAATAGGAGATCTATACCTACATGTAGATAGATAGACATTTATTTTAAGAAATTAGCTTTCGTGATGGAGGGGGCTGGCGAATCGGATTCTTTGCAGGGCAGGCCAGCAGGCTGGAGCTCCTAGGTTATAATCCTGGGGAAAAGTGCTTCTTCTTTAGGAAACCTTCTTTGCTCTTGAGGCCTTTAGCTGGTTGAATGAGGCTCTACGGCATTATGTAGGGAGTAACCTGCTTTCCTCAGTCAACTCATTGTAAATGTTAATCACATCTACAAAATACCTTCAGAGCAACATCTAGATTTGTTTTGACTAAACACCTGGGTGGGTGCCTAGCCCAGCCGAGCTGACATACAATTAACCATCATGGTGGTTTTTATAATTCAGATTCCACTGCCTCTATCAGATTTTGAGACTTTCCGGAGTTACTCTTCTGATGATTATAAATCTTGGTTTTATGATGCCCTGGTCTATCACCAAGTATTGTGAAACAGAATTGATTTGAAATCATGTTTTAAGGTGTATTTTACCTTTAAAAATATTATTCAATAAATTGTATAAAATAAATTTAAAAGAAAAGGAAAGAAAGTTTGATTCCTACCTCATTTTAACAGATTCCAGATGGATCAAAGTTTTAGGCATTAAGATGTATCATGCACTGTGTTATTTCACACTTTATGTACATCTAAAATTACTTCAAATAAGTTTTTTTTTAAAATCATAAAAATACTAGAAGAAAGAGTGGGTTTTTTTTTTATTCTTGAAAGGTCTTTCTTAGATAACTAACACAAAACCAGAGCTATGATTTTGATGTTTAACCACAAATATTTGAAACTTTTATATGATTTCTAAAAATACCATAAATAAAGTCAAATGGCAAACCACAAACTGGAGGTAATTATCTCCAACATATGACAAGATAAAAAGGGTATTTTCCTTAATATACAAAGAATGTAAATTGCTTATCCAACTCAAGAGAAAAATAGGCAAAGAAATATATGAGTAGTCCAGAAAAAATTCAGTTGGCTAAAAGATGTAAAAAAAAGACACTCCATCTAACTCCTAAATAAGCGTAAATTATAACAAGAAATGTAACTTTCACCATCAATTTGACTAGATTAAAACAATTTATAATATCAATTTTTTTTTTTTTTTTGCAGGCAGTTTGGTCATATCTATAAAAAGTGAGGGGTGCTTGGCTGGCCCAGTCAGGGTTGTGTAGCTCAAGCTCCATGTTTGGCATATTGCTTACTGAAAAAAATTAAATTAAATAAAAATGTCTTTATTTTCAAAAAATTCTTTCATAAGTATTCAATGATTATATACATATACAAGTACAGTCAAAGATGTTTATTATTTTACACATATACAAATAAACTCAAAGATGTTTATATAGCGAAAGAAAACAAAAAACTAAAAGCCTGTAAGCCCATCACTAAAGTGCTGACTATATAATTGTATATATTTATATTTTGGAATATCATACATCTGATAAAAAGAATAAGAATATTTTTCAAAATTGAATATGGTTATTATCTCAGTGTGTGTATATATATGTGTATATATTAATATATATTAAAATTGTGTATATATATTAAAATTAAAAATGTGTATATATATATTAAAATGTTTATATATTATATATTAAAATAATAAATTAAATGTGTATATATATTAAAAATGTGTATATATATATCTTCATTAAAATTAAAATTAAAATGTGTATTATTAAATACACATTTATTAAAATTGTGTATATATATTAAAAATGTGTATTAAAATTAAAATGTGTATATATATACACATTAAAATGTGTATATATATTATTATATTAAATATAATGTGTATATATATATATTAAATGTGTATTAAAATGTGTATATATATATATATATCTTCATTGATTCTGGTGAGACTAGGGAATTAGGGGTGGTGATGGAGAAAAGGGGAAGCATATATTTCTCTTATTTTAAAAACATATTTGAAAAAATAATTTATATTGTGAGAAGCCTTTTTAAAAAGTCAGTGAAGAGTACATAGTATTTCAGTATCAAACCAGTGATCATCTTGGCTGCAAAATGGATAGTATCTATTTTTTCAGTGCACAATATTTTAATTACTAGAGAAGGTAGTTACCCTTTATTCTTGCAAACATATTCTTTGATTTTGAGGGCAACAAATATGCATCGGCTGGAATTACCATCAGGTTGTATACCTTTGGCCTGTGATAGAAGGCAGCATGGAGATGTGTGCTCAGTAGGAGAGAGAACTAACCTAGGCTTGACATTCATCTGAAGCTAATCCACCGAGGAGATAGATTTTATGTGGGAATAGCTGAGAGATGATAACTGCACTTACCCCACAGTCCTAGATTCCCAGCACACAGAAAGAAATCTGTGTTGAGAATTTTGACAGTGGCCCGATTCTCTGTTACTGTAAGTTTAAAATTGTCTTGTGGACTGGAAGGGCTATTTTTCCTGCAACCCACCTTTAGACGAGTAAGCAGAGTTGTTACAGTTCTGCGTTAGCAGAACATCTCACCACCACCCTTATTTTTGGAGCCTTTCAAAAAAAACCTGACTTGCTTTCGTCTTCATATTGAAGGATAAACGGGGGAGCCTGCAGGAGCATGAACATTCAGCATTACGGGACCACATGCTTCTGGTTTTAGAGAAGAACTTACAATTAGAAGAACAGGTAAATATTCATGGTTTCCAATGTAAAGGGAGGCAGCACAATTGCTGGGATTGGTAATTGTTGGTAGTTTTATATTCTCTTCTGTTTCAGTACAAGTCGAGTGGAGGTAGATGTTTTTCTACTAAGCAGCCAGGCAGATTCATAGGATTATAGAACATTAGAACCAGAAGGTGTCTTTGAGATTTTTGGGTCCAGCCCTCTCCTTCCACAGATGAAGTTGACTAAGCTCAAAGAAATGTTGATGTTTGTAAGTGGCAGGATTTAATCTCAAACACATGTCCCCTGATTCTCAGCCCAGTGCTCCCCACGAAATACCACACTGCCTCTCTGCAGCCTAGGCACACACCTTCTGGTTAATATTTGGCACCTGGCAGGTGATAAGTAGGTGTTCGATGTTTTTTTATTTATTTATTTTTTTTAATTTTTTATTTTATTTATGATAGTCACAGAGAGAGAGAGAGGCAGAGACACAGGCAGAGGGAGAAGCAGGCTCCATGCACCGGGAGCCCGATATGGGATTCGATCCCGGGTCTCCAGGATCGCGCCCTGGGCCAAAGGCAGGCGCCAAACCGCTGCGCCACCCAGGGATCCCGTGTTCGATGTTTTTGAATTAGACTAATGTTACTCTGAAACAATAGTTGACTACCTGTTCTAGGCACTGTGGATTTTACATATTTTGTAGTAAGTCTTAGCTCCTGCCTGTGAGAAACTTTGCAGCCTGATAAAGGCATACAAATGTATTTATTTCACTGAGTTGTGATTATCAAGTGAATCAAATTGTGTGTACAAGTGCCTGCCATAATCCCTGGAATATTCATAATGGACCTCAATAAATGCTGATTCTGTTGAGTAATTATTATGAAAGTTAATTATTTTGTTAGAACATCTCAGAGGATCAGACTTCTCAAGCGCATGTCAGGAAGAGAGGGAGCTGAATGCGATTATTGCCAATTATTTTATGACATCTGATTCCATATTAAAGGAGATGTGTGAGTTCCAAGGGCAGACCCTGAAGAAAATTGGGAAGACCAATTAAACTGTAACGTTGGTAGAGGGCACACTGCCTGGTAATGATTCCCAAGTTCTTTCTGTACCACTCACCTCACCCATCCATCCATTTGTTCATTCACAAACACCTGCTGTATGTTAGATACGAGGTTCGTTGCTAGGGGCTCTGAGTGGAGGAAGACACAACTTCTGCCCTTGAAGATCTCACGAAAATGCAAATAGAGAAGTTACTGTGCTATAGAACATGCTGTGGCTCAGTCTGGGGCGCAGAGGCAGTGGGTGTTGGGAAAGGTTCTCCAAGGGAGCACATTCGAGCTTTGCATTGAAGGAAGAGAAGATGTGTCAGCTTAAATGTGGAAGGAGGACGTTGCAGAAGAGGAAAACTTGTGCCAAGACAGGGAGGTATGAGGAAGGCCGATGGTTCAAGGAACAGGGGCTTGGGGATGGTGGGGCTCCTGAGTGTGACAGGGGAGTGCTGGAGACTGCTATGCTCGATCCACATTGCAGTGGCCCTCCATGTAAGCTAAGGAGTTGCAGATACTATACATTCAATTATTTTATTCATTCATATTCTCCCTTGTTTCAGAAAGTATTTAAGAGCCAAAGTTTGAATTACTGTTTGTCAGTAAAAGGGAGCTCATGGAGGTTTTGAAATAGGAAAACACAAGTTTCCCCCCCACTAGGGGAAAGTAGAGCAACCCTATGAAACTTTTCAGAAGCCAAAGTGGTGTAAAGCAAAGGAGCAGTTACCATTTCATAAAGGTGAAACTCCTCTTTGATTTCTTTTGGTTAGTGAAAACAGGTCCCAACGAAGGTCTATCATAAATGCAAGGTGGCATAAGGTGAACTTTTGGACACTAGGGGTGGGCAAGGACCAGTACGTGGCCAACTAATTGTTTGGCTTTAAAAAGTAAGACAGCTGCAAGGCACCTGGGTGGCTCAGTCAGTTAAGCATCTGACTGGCTCAAGTCAGGATCCCAGGGTCCTGGGATCGAGCCCCACGTTGGGCTCTCTGCTCAGTGGGGAGTCTGCTTCTCCTTCTCCTTCTGTCCCTCCCCCATTTCTCAAATAAATAAATGCAATCTTTAAAAAAAAAGATAAGACAGCTGGTGGCAGCATGGAAGATGGATAGAGGGAGAGAAGAGCATGAGGATGGGGGAACCAGGCAGAAGAAGGATGTTGTACTTAACTAGACAAGGTGGCAGGAGGGCCTTGCAATTGATGAGTGAGGGCTCCAGATCCAGAATGCCTGGTTTCGAGACCTGGCTCTACACTCTCCGTATGGGTTTGGACAAGCTACTTAACCTCTCTCTTCCCAGTTTCCTCATTCATAAAATGAGGTTGTGGTGAGGGTTACGTGAGCTAATATACTTAAGCTGTTAGCTGGAGCCAACATACTAAGCAGCTGAGTATTAGGTGAAGTAGGCAAGGTACTGGGGGCTGGTGGTGCGGGAGGTGATGGTGAAGCTCAGCCAAGGCCGTGTCTGTGGGGATGGAGAGGGCATCGAGAGACACTCAGAGGTCGGGATGCAAGCTACAAGTCTAGAAGGCAGAGAACATGGTAGTTATGACCTGAGCTGGGCACTGCCGGAACAGGAGCAGGGGAGGGGGGAGGGTGGGGAGAGGAGACACGGAGGTTTGCTTTCCATCAAGGAGATGGGTCTGCCCTGTAGGGGGAAGTCAGCTCTCTCAGGGTCTAAATGGAAGTTTCTGGGCCCAGAGATCACATGGTTGTTGCAGGCATTTGTATATTCATTTATATGACATGTATCAAATGCCCTTTGGGTGCCAGACACTGTGCTGGGCTTTGGGGATGCAGAAATAAGTGAGATGTGGCCTCAAAAAGTTAGTAGAGGAAAAAGACCCAAACAACCCCACAAAAGCTTTAGGAATAATGAGGGTAAGTTAAACACTCAAGTGGGGTCAAGAGGGTCTTGGAACTTGAGAGACGACCTAGGTAGGTAGTACCGGTGAGGAAATATTTCTGAGAGAAAGTACCCTTGAGTGGACACTGGAAAAGCAGCGGTTTCTCAATAGAGGAGGAAGTATCTCAGAGAGCAGGTCCCAGGGGACAAGAGAAGTGTGGTCTTGCTGGGCAGGGCACACGTGGGATGTCAGTGGCCAGGAGGCTGAAAAGGTAGCCAGGGGAAGATCATGTAGGGCCCAGTGGGGTTTGTAAAAAGGAGTCCACTAAGGATGGTTAAGTAAGGGGGGAGGTGACAAGACCAGATTTGTGTCTTCATATTACTCTGGGTACAGCATGGAGGATGAATTAGGGGCAAACAAGACAAAGAGCATCATTCATTCATACAGTCATCCAACAAATATTTATCAAACACCTGCTGATGCCAGGCACCAGACCAGTTCCTGGGGTTACAGTGGCCTGTGGGACCCGTATCCCAGGTCCCATAGAGCTTCAGTTCTAGTGGGAGTGCGAGGGATGGTGTAGGACCAGTAGGGAAGCTGTTGTCACAGTCCAGGTGAGACGTAATGAAGGCTAAAACAAAGTGTTGAAATGAAATGAGATGAAATGAAAAGTGGATATGAGTTTTTTTGTTGTATATTAGAATTTAAAGTTGGTAAGTATGGATCATAAGAGAAGAGCCATCTAGGCTCACATTAGGGTTTCTGGTTATTTCCTTCAAACACGTTACAGATTCTAAGAGCATAACATGTTTTGCCTGCCACTTGCTAAGCTAACTGTACGCTGGGCAGGTTACTTAAACTGTCTGCCTCCTTATCTGTAAAATGGGCTGATAGTCATACCCATCTCATAGGATTCTTTGAGGATTAAAAGAGCTAATGAATACAAGGGTATGACACATTCAGCAAATTTCAGCTATTACTATCGATAGTGTGCAGATAGCATCTGTTGTGGTGCGCTGATCAGTACTCTGTGGTTACTAAGTGCATGCTGAATGAATGAAGAGAACCAGTTCAGTGAATTTAGTCAAGTGATGTCCACTACCATTAGATGAACCATCATAAGGCAGGTTAAGTATAGAAAAGGCTGATGAGAAATCTGTGGCTCTGGTTTTTGTTTTGTTTTGTTTTCGGAAACCCCTGCAAATATTATATAGGAACCCACTGGTAAATATTATATAGGAACCCACTGGTAAATGTATATGTGTGTATATATTTTTCTGGAAACACCACATTTTCCTAGACCTATATTTAAATTATTTTAACGTGTATATATGCATTTAAATGATCTCATTCACATTCCTGTTACTAGATTTCTGATTTATATAAGAGCCTAGAGCAGAAAGAAAGTAAAATCCAGCAGCTAGCAGAAACTGTAAAGAAATTCGAAAAGGAGTTCAAGCAGTTTGCACAGCTGTTTGGCAAAAATGGAAGCTTCCTCTCAAACATCCAGGTGAGAAATGGCGTCTCTACTCATAGCCAAGATTTAGCCTTCAACTGGCAGCCAGGGTTTTTCTTACAACTTGTTAAGTGGAGATAATTTCAAATGTAAACAAAAGCTTAAAGAACAAGATAGTGCTTTAAAATACCTATATGCATTCTCCACCCAGATTCACTCATTGTCAGTATTTTGTCCCGTCTCTCTCTCTCTGTCTCTGTTGCTGTATGTACGTGGGTGTTCTTTCTGAACCATTTGAGAGTAAGCTGTATACATTAGGGCCCTTTACCCCTACACACTTTGATATGTGTTTCATAAGAATGAAGATCTTCTTTTACCGAACCCCAACATTTAACGATCAGTACATTTAACATTGATCTAATACTTTTACATGATTTATGGCAATTAGGGTTGTAATTAATGTTGGATCAATATTAGTCCCTTGATGTCGGATTCATTGAGAGTACCCATAGTTCTGCATTTTGCCGTCAACAAAGTGAAACTATTAATTCCCTGAAGCAGATGCTTTAAACAACACTAAAATATAGCAAAAGTTACTTTGCAAATCATGAATGTTAAACAACCATAAACACATTTCTAATGAATGTCTTTATTGTGATTATAAAATTTATTGTGAAAAAAAGTAAAATAAAAATAAAAAAATAAAATTTATTGTGAAAAAGATTTTAAGACATGTGGCATGGGTAGTATTTTTGAAATGTAGACTCTCCCAGAAAAATGGAGGCCATATAATTTCCATACTTTGTTAGCACGCTGCGTGTGTGTGTCTGTGTGTGTGTAGACAAAAAAAGAAATCCATCATATGTTACTATCTCAATTCTGATCTTTTCCTAACACAGAAACTCGTCAGAGGTACTGAGTGGCAAGGATGGAGGAGAAATATAGGTCTGGTTTTATTTAATCTCTTCCATCTAAGGAGAGCAATCAAAATTTAGGCCTTGCCTCAGGGCACTTCTGTACCACCTGTAGTGCTCAGGCCGGAACGGGTGGGTCCACTTCCAGCTCATTCTGTGCTTTCTAGCAGAGCAGGAGTGGATCAGGAGAGTAGCCTCTGAGAAGGAAGTTATAAGGCAAGAGGAGAGACAACAGGAGAATAGAGATATAAAGATAGGTATGAGGATAGAGAACCAAATGGAGAGAAGTTGAGGGAGGAGTAAAAGTCAAATGAAGAGAAATTCAAAGATTTGGAACAGGAGCTGGGATTGGGAGGAGGAGGAGGATATTTGGTGGCTCATCTCTCTCTCATCCTCACTGAATTTTCTCTTCCGGATCGTGCATTTTTTCATTTCATTAATTGACTAATTAAATGTGCAATGTTTGAGTTGAAAAAATTTACTCTCGGTGAATTACTAAGATAGTAACAATTGTTTTTTGAAACTATGATCCATGTCATACTAAAAGGTTCTTGCCAATCACATTGACAAGTCGGCTTGGCTAGAAGCTCAAGTGCGCCAGTTATTACAAATGGCTAACCAGCAACAAAATAAATTTGATCTGAGGCCTCTGGTGGAAGCGATTGATACAGTGAAACAGAAAATTACTCTGCTAGAAACCAATGATCAAAGACTAGGTATGTCTCATATTTTGCTTCTCTTTTGGTGACTCTGCTGTCTGCATGTTTATGGAACAAGCAAAACACCTGGCCAAAAAGAGTAGCAGCCGTCCAGGATAAACAGTGGTTGAATCTGGTATTTGTGAATCAGAACAGCATGAGATTCTGGCCACTTGGGGGAAAAGTGATGGAGGGCAATGAGCGGGGCCTGGAACAGGCAAGGTGTGGTAATGGGCCAAGAAATTCCAGAAACAGGGAGTGGTGGTTTTTAAGGAGAGTGGAAAATAATGAGAAAGCTAAGAGAGAGATATGGTGGAAATACCGTTTTAAGTAGAGGAAAAATAGAAAAAGGTTTGGCTGTTTAAAGCTTTCCAGATATTAAATAATGGGGCTCACCATGCTAATGCACACTAGTTAAATGCTTTGTGTCTTCACTTCGGGGAGCTTCAGTTCAAGAGTTCATTTGGGTTTTCTTGTTACTACTCTTTTTTTTTTTTTTAAGATTTTATTTGTTTATCTTTGAGCACATGTGGGCAGGAGAGCATGAGCAGGGGGAGAAGCAGACTCCCCGCTGAACAGGATGCAGGGCTTCATCCCAGGATGAGCCACCCAGGGGCCACATTTTGGTGCTACTCTTGCCAAGACTTGAGATTCATTGAGTTAATAATACAAATGGTCGGTTGCCTGGGTGGCTCAGTCAGTTAAGCGTCTGCCTTCAACACAGGTCATGATTCCAAGGTCCTGGGATCTAACCTCAAATCCGGCTTCCTGCTCAGTGGAGAGCCTGCTTCTCCCCCTGCCACTCCCCCTGCTTGTGCTCACTCATGCTGTCTCAAATAAATAAATAATATCTTTAAAAAAACAATATAAATGGTCCATTGGTGGACAATGAATTCAGCTCATCTTTAGGATGTCAGAATTTTATTGGTTTTCTTCAGATAACAAAATTCCACTCTGGGCAAATTCAAAAGACAACTTTAAGGCCTATGGAATCTTTTCTCTTTGCAGTTGTTTTGGAAGGGGAGACTAATAAACACGATGCCCACATTAATATTCATAAAGCACAACTGAATAAAAATGAAGAGCGCTTTAAGCTCCTGGAAGGTGCTTGCTATAACGGAAAGCTCATCTGGAAGGTGACAGACTATAAGATGAAGAAGAGGGAGGCCCTGGACGGGCACACAGTGTCCATCTTCAGCCAGCCCTTCTACACCAGCCGCTGCGGCTACCGGCTCTGTGCCAGAGCGTACCTGAACGGGGATGGGTCCGGGAAAGGGACACACCTGTCGCTCTACTTTGTTGTGATGCGAGGGGAGTTTGACTCACTGTTGCAGTGGCCGTTCAGGCAGAGGGTGACCCTGATGCTTCTGGACCAGAGTGGCAAAAAGAACCACATTATGGAGACCTTCAAGGCCGACCCCAGCAGCAGTAGCTTTAAAAGACCTGATGGAGAGATGAATATTGCGTCTGGCTGCCCCCGCTTCGTGGCTCATTCCACTTTGGAGAATGCCAAGAACACCTACATTAAAGATGACACCGTGTTCCTAAAAGTGGCTGTGGATTTAACTGACCTGGAGGACCTCTAGTCCCTGTTTCTGGCTTGTTGGGCCCAGAACCGTGGACGAAGACACCTGTGATGTCAGACATCCTATGGCCTGATGACTTTGAACTCAGTATACATTGGTATTTGGCTGTTTGCCCCCCCCCTCCCTCCCCCAGTGTTTGAAGTCAGTTTCAAGCTTCTCAAGTGCTATCTTCTTTTTATATTTTACTCGGTCCCAGTTTGAAACTTAAGACACTTAGACTAGCCTCTCATTATTTATATTTTTATATCTCTTAAAAGATGTTAAGTTTCTGGAAAGCAAGGTCTGGGGCCTATCTTTTTTACTGGTGCTTGGCATAGTGTCTCAGGGTAGGCACTGTGTGAAATGTTCTGGAGGACACAGAGGAAGAATTGAAAATGCTTCAGCAGCATTATATTACTTGGCCTGCTGATTCTAGACCTAACCATAAGCCTGCAAAAGCCATCTTTCACGGTAGGCTGTCCCGATTAAATAGTTGGATCATGTACTTTCAAAGACAGTGTGTCCAGTTTGGACCAGACTTTATTTGGTCAGATACTAAATTTGTGGAAATTACTGTACCTCTAAATATTTTCAGTAAACATCACCAGTAGTCAGCAAGTACAGTTTTGCAAGGCTGCATTAGAACTGGTGAATGTAGGGAGATTTTCCTTCTCCCCGTTGAAGTAAACAGAAAGTACTGCATAGTGTGTGTGTGTGTGTGTGTGTGTGTGTGTGTGTGTGTGTGTGTGTAGAGAGAGAGAGTATATATATGTGTGTGTGTATATATGTAGAGAGCTATAGCCATCCAACTAAAGTTCATATTTTATTAGGCTCAACCATGTGAAAAGACTATTTTCATACATCAGAAAAGGTCAACTATTAACAGTTTCATAAGGTTCAATTTGGTAAGTTTAAAGGTATTTTGGTAATAATAGTAAGTTAATGTGAGGATGGGCAGGAGTTAGCATATGATGGAGAAAATGTCATAAATGGGTAAGAGAAATTTAAAACCTAGGGAAAACACCATTATTATTCCTATGGTATCAGAAGTATTCCCCTCCCAAACTGATTGCTGAAAGCAGGATCTCCCATTCTTTTTTGAGAGAACTTTTGAATTCACAAACTGGTATGAAAATGGGCATTTATATAAGCTTGTGACTTTTCTTATTGAAGTTGTACTTTGTGAAGAACAGAAGTGACTGTATTCTTATGCATCTATCTATGTGGATCTCTATATGAGGATGTATATCTAAAGTCAAAAGGAGTCCTAATGGCTGTTGATAAATCTGAGCTTATAAAAAAATATAGCCAGTTTTCCTGAGCCCTCCCTCACTGTTGTGCACCTGAGTGTTCACTCACACTTGAGCTGGTTCCCTCAAGTGTAAGGGCAAAGTGCCATGGACTGAGGACCACTTAAAGCAGCTCATTCAGGTGATGACCATGTACCTTACAACTTTTGAACACTTTAATTTGATGGAAGAAACATTTTTATACCAGTGGCTTCTGGCATAATCGGAACTTTCTGAATCTCTTCTGTGAAAATTTTCAAGGGCCAAAGGCTCGTATTGCAGAAATCACCCCAAAGGCTTAAATTCAAAGAAGTAAGCTTCCAGTGGAAACACACTAAAGAAACATACCGTAGCTGCTGGTGAATCCAACTAATGGTCAATAGGTTCCCCTCACACAGCCAGAGTTGGTGGTTCCTCATGTTTGTTTTCATTGTTTTTAATCCAGCTCAACCCGTTGGGAGTAGAAGATCATATTGTTGTAACTAGTTTGAAGCAGTTGGTATGGTAAATATTCTTAAATGAATTTATCAAAATACTGGTTTTCTGTTCTAACCAACTTCTCTACATAAAAAGCTTAACTCACGGCATGGTTTGCTTACTAGCTCAGCATCCCTTCATCATTGATAGTGATCTCGGAACAAGGTATTCCAGAGTAAAAAGCACTCCTTTCTCAAAAATAAGAGCTGTGATTTTTGCTTTAAAGAAGTACATCCGTGAAACTGTTCTTCCTCTTTCATGATCTGAGCATTTTTATTCTATATCAGAAATATTTAAAGATTTTATTTTTTAAGTAATCTCTACATCCAACATGGGGCTCGAACTCACAACCCCAAGATCAAGAGTCATGTGCTTTACTGACTGAGCCAGCCAGGTACCCCTATGTCAGAAATATTTACGTTTAATCTCTATTTTGGTCTGATTTCAATTCCTAATGAAAAGAAGAATACACAGTAGGCATAGAAGGGAAGTTAAGCACCTTGAGAAAGGTACATACAGGATTAAGATAGGATGGAGAGGTGGGGTACATATCAATGCATATTAACAGATCTAAATTCTGACCCCTGCTGCCCAAGTTTGATTCTTCAGAGAAACAAGAGATAGTCCCAGCCAGTTTCAAGTCACAGCACCAGTCTGGAATGCAAGTAAATAGAGCAGAGAACAACAAACCCTTCAAGTGGTCCCTTACACAATCAGTCCACACTTTTCCCTTAGAAAGTGGTTGGAGAAATGGGTCTTCACTGTACATAAGAATTCTGGCCCAGAGACAAAGCTTTGATGGACACACAGCAGGGGACCCAAGTGGTGAAATCACCTGAGAACAGCACATTTTAGGGAAGGAGGAAAAAGGGGCCGGCAAAGCATGTAGAGAAGGAATGGTCAGAGGTAGGAGAAGGACCATGGGAAGGCATGGGCAGGGCCCAATGCCACCCTGACAACAGTCCCTCCCAGTGCACCTCACAGCCAACTCTTAAACTCACCATCTCCTCCGTGCTGCTCCCTCCTCGGGGGCATCTCTGCATCCCTGCCCCTGGCCTTTGCTTGTGGCTGCAGCTTCAGATATCCAAGTATCTGCTGTGCTTCTCATCTGTGAAGTCCCAAAAGTACTTTTTTTTTTTTTAGACTTTATTTTCTAGAGAAGGATCAGGGGGAGGGGCAGAGAGGGAGAGGGAGACACAGACTCCCCACTGAGCAGGGAGCCCAACGCAGGACTTGATCCCAGGAGCCCCGGGATCATGACCTGAGCTGAAGTAAGATGCTTAACCAGCTGAGTCACCCAGGTGCCCCCAAAGGTACTTTAAAGTCTACTTCAGAACTGGAGATCTTCTGGCTTTCCCCACCACTGCCAACCTATGACTCCTCCCATTTATTCTACACTAGCTAATGACATCATCATCCAAGCCAGAAGTTTGGACACTGTTCTAGATTCTTCCCTCGCCTTCCCATCCAATCACCTACCCAATACTGCCAATTTGACCTCCAAGTAATTCCTTTATCTCTACCACCAATCCCACTTGCCCACTATGGCCCTGTTTGAAGGCCTACAATTTTTGCTGCACAACTGTTTTTTTTTTTTTTTTTTGTTTCGCCTGTTTCACGTCTAACCTCACACTGCCACGTGGTAATGTCTCTAAAGTGAAAATCTGATAACGACTGTTCCATCCGCCCACTGTGGCCGCATCGCCTCTAGGACAAAGCCCAGCCTCCCTAGCACGGCACACGAGGCCTGCTTTGCCTGCCTCTACCCCTCCGCCCACCTCCCTACAGTCCTCCAACTTCACATTTAGTCCTAGCTCCACAAGCCATTGGGCATTTCTCGGTGCTTGTGCTGCACTTCTCTCTCCTTACTTCTTTGCGTGGTGAATTCTGAGATTCTGCTTTGGCCTTATCTTCTCCAGGATGCCTTCCCAAACTCCTTACTTGATGCACGTCCCCCCACCCCCCTGCCAACCCGTCACTAGCCCAAGGGCTCCTACTCTGCTGTATACTTCCTTGCCTATACTACAATTGCTGGACTTTTTTTTTTTCTCCCAGAAAACAAATGTTAATTGGTTATGTGTTCGTCAGACCTTTGCACTAGGCAGAAATAGAACAGATACTGCCCGTCTTCGTAAAATTTAGAATCTAGAGGTCAGCCACACGCGGTGAGCCAAAATGCTCAATGTGTAAATGTCCTCGGCCTCCTCGGGCTCTCAACTTCTTCCCCTGTGCCCTCAGCCCCGTTTTGAATGTTTGTGACACAAGGCAAAATAACAGGCAGAAAACATTTGAAAGGAGAGCGCAAGAGGCAAAATTTATGAAGAAATGCTAAACTGAGGCACAGGAGGATTTGGGAGGAATACAAGAGAGAAAAGGGAACACAAACCTCTGAGAACTGTTGGGAACTGTGGACCCTTTGATAATTCTTTCAAGAGACCCACGTTAAAAACTGAAATACATTTAAAAATTAATTTTGGCTGCTTGAGCTACATTCATTGGACTGAAACTCTACATGGAGACTAGACTCTGGGGCCAGGATTTATAAGGCATTTGAACCAAGAAACGACTATAGAGGTTTTTGTTTGTTTTGTTCTTAGATTTATTTATTCATGCAAGACAGAGAGAGGCAGAGACACAGGCAGAGGGAGAAGCAGGCCCCATGCGTGGAGCCTGATGTGGGACTCGATCCCGGGACTCTAGCATCACGCCCTGAGCTGAAGGCGGCGCTAAACCGCTGAGCCACCCGGGCGTCCTGACTATAAAGGTTGTGACAAATGCCTCGAAGAAAATGACGGAGCACAGTGAAAGAATATGGGGCTGGGCCGGGGAGAACAGGTGTATACTTAGGGCTGTCAGGGCGGGCCTCTTGCTGACGTGACAGGGTATTTAGTGTTCGCGTGACAGGTTTTCTGAATGGGCAGCACCTCTGACACCCCTCTAATACCCAAGGATTTCCGTGAGAAGTTGCCCCCCGGGCCCCCTTTGCAGCACAGGCATAGCTGACCTAGGCCCCACCAATCACGCACAGTCACACACAACTGCAACTTGAAAAATGAGATGGGTCAGATTCCACTTTTTTATTGCAAGAAACATGGGCAAGACGAAGAACGAAAAGTGCCAAACTCTGCCTACCCAGTGGTGAGGCTGGCGAGCGGACCAGAGGGAGAGCTCCTGGTTCCCCAGGCCTTAGTTTCACAGCCTGTGTTTGTGGAAGTTGCGGCGTTGGTGTCAAGTGGTGGCAGCAGCGGTGGATTTTCACTAGAGCTTCCGGCGTGCTTGGGCATCGTACCTCCACCGGCTTCTGATCTTCCTGGAGACTCTCCGGGCTACATAATCTTAATAAAGTCCCTTTCTCAGCCAGAGTAGATTCTGTTGTCTTTAACTAAGAACCTGACTGAATCAAGCTGAGACCTGAGAGATGAGTCAGCCACGATGAGTCAGAGCAGGTGGGATGGAAATTCTGGGCAGAGGTCACTGAGGAACAAGAGAGTTGGTTTAAGGAGCCAAGAGGAGGCCTGTGAGGTAGGAGTCACCAGAAGAGGGGAGAGTGGTGAAAACTGATGAACTTAGAAGGGGACGCAGGGCCCAGAGCACAGTGTTAAAAGTCACAATCAGGAGGCTGTGGTTTATGTAAAGTGTAACGAAAGTGGAAATAATTTTGGCAGGGGAATACATGATCGGATTAACGTGTTCTACAACTGCTCTGTGTGGAACATAGATAAAATGGGGGTGAGAGAGGACATGGGAACAGTATTAAGGTTATGTCAGGCTGCAATTCTGTTTCCATATCTGGGTCCTTAACTAAATCATGAACTCCTTGAAGCCAAAAACCATACTAATTCAAGTGCATAGAAGGTGCTCATTATATTAAACCGAATAGTATATATACATTATTATCTTTATAACTAATTTGCTAGGCAGATATTATGCCTATCTCATAGAAGAAAAAACTAGTGATTAGAGGTCTATGTGCTGCGTGCTAGGCAGTGTCCCAAGAATTTTACATACTAATTACACATTAACACACTAATCCTCACAATAATCTTATCAGATATATGCTATTTTTTTAAAAAAAGAGTTTATTTATTTATTTATTCATGAGAGGCAGAGACACAGGCAGAGACACAGGCAGAGGGAGAAGCAGGCAGGGAGCCCCACGTGGGACTCAATCCGGGTCTCCAGGATCATGCCCTGGGCCGAAGGTGGCGCTAAACCGCTGGGCCACAGGGGCTACCCAGATATATGCTATTTTATCCCCATTTTACAGATGAGGCAACTGAGGCACAGAGAAGTTATATAGTAAGATCTAGGTTTAACAGCTAATAAGTGGAAAAGCCAGGATTTGAATCCTGACAGTCTGGCTTCAGAGTCTCTACTATTAACCACTATATAAGACTGCCTCATAAAAATGCTCATAGGGATGGCTGGGTGGCTAAGTGGTTGAGCATCTGCCTTCAGCTCAGGTCCTGAACCTGGGATCCTGGGATCAAGTCCTGCATTGGGCTCCCTGCAGGGAGCCTGCTTTTCTCTCTGCCTGTGTCTCTGCCTGTCTCTGTGTCTCTCATGAATAAATAAAATCTTAAAAAAATAAAATAAAAATGCTGATAAATTCCATATGTTTATATAAAATCAGAAGTTTAAATGAGCCAAAATATAAGAGTAACCACTAGATAATAATTGAACATAAAACTTCCAAACTACCATAGGAAAAAAAAATCTGGAAAAAGAAACTTTATCAAACCAAAGAAAGAAAAACAGGAAGCACAATATACAGAAAAAAACAGAATTAAATCCAAGCACATAAGCATGAAAGGGTTAAATTTTACTATTAAAAAAGGAAATATCTCCAACGTGGGGGCACATAAATATGCCTTTTAAATATTATGTAAAACAAAACAGAGCTAACAACTCCATTACCAGTTACATATTCAGAGATACTCTTGCATGTGTGTACTGGGAGACATACAAGAAAGTTTACTACCAGAATTGTTTACAATAGCAAAAAAAAAAACAACAAAAAAAAAAAAACAAACCTGGATAAAAACAAACAGGGGATGGCAAGGATGTGAAACAACAGAAACTCCTACACTCTTGGTGGGAGGGTAA